GTTAAAGAAGATAATTTCAAAGGAAAAATAATTTGTTTTCTTTAAATCCTAGCAATAAATCAGATAATATCAGACATTTCCTAACAGGAGGAACTGTGTTTTTTCTTGCACTGCATATGCAGAAAAGAAACCCCTAGAGTAACTATGACATTGGTTACTAGGTAGAAACAGATATAGACCAAGGCCAAGTTCACACCAAGGAAAGCTCACCATGCACACAAGGAATCTGGACTGGTTTTGAACCAGTGACTGGGGGAAAAATATATTTAGTTCATTTACATTGTTACACTATAGAAGGCATAAGTGCCTAAAGTGGCCCCTGGGGAACATCATTTTATTACAGAGGCCCATGGATTGCTTGTGAAGTATACTCAATTAACTTTCATCACATTACACTCTCCACACGTCAAGGACACTGAGATATGGGAGGGTATGTAAAGACATAGAATATGGAGGTGTAATTAGCCCTAAATTAAGTGGTAAAGAAGGGGATAAAGCAGAATACATGTTTAATAAATATATCTAGAATATATCTAGTCAAAAGTAGAAACTTCTTGGCTTTAAAAAAAGTCCCCAAAGTATATAGTTTCCAAGATCAGTATGACTTTTAGGGATTTTATTGTCCTTTATCAATGGCTTTTTTATAGCAGTATGTTCTAGTTAAGCAAAAGGGTGGTATAGAAAATGTCACAAAGACAAAACACCCCAAACTTCTAAACATGTGGCCTTTTAGGCCAATCAACATGAAAAGCACAAAGAAGAGCTCACAAGTAATGAGAAGAATTAACTCACAAGAAGACAGGGAAATGTAAGCCATGTATGATGCTCCTAAAGCCAGTAGTGGATGCCTAGAGCCAGGGGTTGTCTTCTCTGTGGTATGCCCTGTTCCCGAGACAGTGACAGTTATGTTCATGGTGCACATCCACGGAGATTACCTTACACATGCCCTGCCCTCCCTTTATTCCATTTTTCTCAAGCTCAGCCAAAAAGATTATTATTGTGACAAAAGAGGGAAATATTTGTACTGCCTAGCTTATACAAAGGTAGCATTGAAAATTTCCTTGAAACTAACATCAGGGAAGGTAATCCTACTTTCCTATTATCAGCTTCTTGGAGACTTTTGTGTTCAGAGGTGTGTACCACAGCTTGCTGTCTGAGCAGCCGGGATCATAAACTCAGCACCAGTAATAAATTAAAGGAACCAAGTATAAAAGGGGAAACAAAAATGCTTTATTTGTAAGAAAGAAAAGAATCAGGGGTCAGAAAGCTACCCTGTAAGAAGGTAGGGGGCCCAGACCCAGACACCCAAGGGTTCTTGTCCTCAGTTTACTTTTAGCATGTTTTAGGGAACATTCCCTTCCAGGTTGATATCTGGAACTTGTCACAATCTGATTGGTTCTCTGGACTGTTATTGAGGATCCCAGGCCCTGGCAGCATTGTGCATGTGCACATTCCTAAGTGAACCTCGTTGTCCTTGTCAGAGCCTTATCTCTGGGATTTATGGCTTGGTTAGAAGGCCCTTGCATACAAGGTTGAGTTAGTGATTAAGGGGATCTGTACAGTAATATAGTGACCCTAGCATGAGAGAGAGAGAGAGAGAGAGAGAGAGAGAGAGAGTCTTTTAAAAGTAATCCTCCCCCTTTTCTCCTTTGTAGTTTATTGAAGATGGGGAGGGGTGGATAACTTGTGTTCCCTGCTCTGTTTATTAGCCCTCCCTGTCTTGCTAATTGTTCTCTCTGGTAAGGTTTTTGCTCTTTCTAGTCAGGATTAGCCAGAAAGTCCAATGAGGCCCTTATTTTATATATTTTTCTGCCTACAGATCCCTTTCCCCTACATGCTGGACAGCCAGAGTTGTGGACTGATGGGAGATGGATTTGATTTAGCACAGCAGTTCTTTGGATTAGCAGCAATAAAATCATTAGCACACATGCTATGGGATCTGATTAACACCCCATCCAACAGCAAAGAGAACTTCATAATATAGGACAACGTGCATTAAAAATTTATCTCAAAACAGAAACTTTGGCCACTGATGGGATGACAACAAGGAAACCTGAAACTGCTCACACATGGTGGACTTATAGTCATCAAACATTGAATTACATGAAGAACAGCAATTCACATAGAAAACTTGAGAGAATTTTCAAAAGAGAGTTGTAAGTAGACATGCAATAGGGGAATCTATTATTCTGTACAGTGATTTCCATTTTTTCTTTAAATTAAAAACAAAATTTTCTAGTCACACCTGGTACATTGTTCATTAACTCATCTCTTTGAAATTGAATCTTCCTTAGTCTGGCTGATCCTTATGACCAAACAACCCCAGTTGCGCTAAAAGTCTGGTACATGACAGCAGATGAAGTATTCTTCAGAAATAATGGAACCTGTTAATGGGAGTTGGAGGGCTGATTTTCCTTTACTCCTATAATTTGGAGATTACAGAATGTGATTTTTAAAGGTCAGAATGAATTACTAATTACGTAGAGGTACTTGAAATTAGCAAATAAAACTGCTACTCATAATAGTGATTAAGGAATAATTATTCAAACAGGGAAAATGGCAGCAAAGTAGAACCAGCAGTAAAATTATGTGTTGATGTTATCATAGAGCCTTTATATTACCTTAATAAGAAATTGTTAGATATTAATTCCATTTCTTCCTCTTTAGGCTATACCCTTTACAAACAGTAAAAACCTAAAACAAGTGCTTAATGGTTTTCAAGAAAGATACGATGAAGGCAGGTGACCACCTGGACAGCCTCTCCTGTGGCATTCAGAAATATGTGGGCTCACTGTGACTTCCTTTTATCTTTTATTCAATATGTGAAGGAAGTAAAGATTATGGTTTCATTGGCAGGACCTTAAACCCACCCTATCTTTTTATATGAGTCCCTGACAAATTTGGGCCCCTTAACTATTATAAAATTACTTCAATACTCTTTAAAATCAATGCTGACTCCCTCTTTTGAGAATTTAAATACATTTTGGTTTTGCTTCTAGGTGTTTTTGTTTCACCACATTCTATATTTGCCAGTCTTAGTTTGATGTGCTCAGTCTGTGTTGAGAAACTCAGGATTGTATTTTGGTTTTTTATATCAAATTTAAAGCCAAATGTATAAACATAAATAAGACAATGAAATAGCTAGACACATGATATGACATGCATATCTTAAGCTAGAGAACAAATTAAGGCACCATTTATATACAGCTTAGATTGTGAAGCACTTGTTATTTATTGATTAGCTATCACACAACACACCTATGAGGTAGTTCAGCATGCCTTTAGTATGAGCAAACGTTTTAAGAATCAGAAAAAGAAAAAAACATCTGTTCCCACAATAAATTGTTGATCAGACCCTTCTTATTCTGCTGACAAAAGAAAAACAATCAATTTCTTGGACGAATTGATCAAATGAACAATGGATATTCAGTTTGGATGGAATGTAGACAGGGTATTTTATTCCCTGGCAGTTTGGAAAGGTTATTGTCTTATTGGGGTTATAATATTCTGTATTCATACTAACCTATCCAAATATTCCCCCAAAAGGTCAGCTCTGGAAAAAAATATGACAGCCTCTCATCACCACCCAGTCTCAAGTCTTCCTATAGGAGTATTCGCATTTTTTGATGTATCTCTTATTTTTTTCTTTTGATTTGAATGACCTAATATATCCACTTTAATAGGAAGATGTGAAAATTCTTAGAGATCTAAAATTGTATGTCATCTAAGAGGCAAATGAAAAACACATCCTGTTGGTCTTTGTATTCCACCCATAGCAGACAAATTTTATGACTACTTTTATCAGCAAAAGGAGTCACTGTAGTCCTCACTACTTAGCAGATTGCTTTATGACCACATTTATTAGTTCACTGGGCTATAGGGTCTGTACATAAGGAAAGCTCATTAATTTGAGTTTCACTATCATGGCATTTGAGGCCATGGGAACAGGTGCTAGCCTGAAGCTTATCTGCACTGAAGAGAAGGAACTGTTTTATCCAGTAAATTTGAATTTCATGACCAGGACGGTAGGAGTGATTTATCTCTTAAAGAAGAGAGACTGGAGCTGGGTGGATAGTTTACTGGTAGAGTGCTTGGCCAGTATGTATAAAGCCCTGAGTTCAATCCCCAGGACTACCAAACCGAGAACACAGAAGACAAGACTATTTCAATCACTTAAACATTTTCCTTTAAAAATAAAAAGTTTCACTCCTATATAAGAAATCTATTAGGCTCATGTGCCAATTTTGAATCATTATTTCCTTTATTACAACAAAACCTCAAATGAATAGTACTTGGTTAGCTTAGTTACCATTGTTCCAAGTACTCTGGGAAAGTAAAAATACTTTAAATATTCATAATCTATATAATGTCTCTCTTCCAAATGGACAGAGTTCTCCCTAGGTTCCCCTGAATTGAGATTTTTAGAGACAATTCCTCTACTAGGGAAGCTCCAGGACTGAGTGGACCTCAGAACAGGGATGCAGCCAGGTCTACATTAATCTCCTTCCTCACCATCAGAGTTTATTGGTCATTTGAAAACATCTACTTTATATCCCACTCCAATCCACCCATAATGAAATTGGAAAGTGAATTATGATTGAATTAAACCCACAACCAAAGTTATCAACAAAAGAAAAACAAACAGTTAGTCTCCCAAGTAGAGATGTTTCCATTCAAGAATTTCCAAAATACAAAGAACATCCATAAGCCCTTCCTGCATAGAGCTGGATATCTCAGTCCCATGGTTCACTAGGATAATAATTTCCCTTTTCTGCATAGGCAAAAATAAATAAACTGAAAAACAATCAAAGAAAAAAAACCTCTGGCACGATATTCACTTTCCCTTGGCAGGTTACCAAAGAGCAATGGTATTTAGATGAGAAACTCTGAAATAATCTGATTATTATAGCTGAAGCTCATCTATGAAGGGGTTGGCATGGCTTCTTTGTAAAGCAAAAGAAATTCATGTTCATAAGCTTTTCTATATTAGGTTATTAAAAAATAAACACACAGTACTTCAGAGCATGAGCTCAGTCACTAAACACAAACAGAAACAAAGAATTTTTTTTCCTTAACTTGGACAATGCTTATTTTACAGCAGAAATGACAAATTAAGCTTTATTTTACACATTCAAAGACAAGCCATCACTAGAGGTTTACAGCTCTGTTGTGTGCTTCTTTCTAAAACAGCAAAATAAATTTCTCCCCATCAAACCCTCCTTCCTCCCCACAATGCAGCCTCATGTGGCCATTCCTCCCTGCAGGCACACACACTGCCAGCCCTGGCACCTCCAGGGTGGCCTCTCTTCATGGGGACAGTGCCACATTCCAGACACAGGAACAGCACACCTTAGTAGCAACACTGTGCATCTGTCATTGCGTTTATTGCTCACTGGCATGTAATCACCTTAGCTCTCTGTGGAAAGCAATGCATGTCCAGTAACCCCAGTCCCCAGGTCCATTCCTGTGGTCAAAAGGTGCAAAGGGCCATCCCAGCCCAATCCTAGCAGGAGTGCTGGTAGCATCCTGGACAGAAGCTCCATGTTCCTTCCTGTATTCGGCCAGCAAGACTCCAATTGTCACTGCTGAGAATTAAAACTAGAGAAAAATCTTTGTAATTTGCACTCAGAAATGTTCCCCATCACAGAGGAACAGTGGTCAAATCCACATCCCAAAGGGAAGGGATGGATTCAGCTACAAGGTTCTGATGAGAAACAGAAGAAACAGGGGATCTCACCTTACCTAAAGCTGCCATTTCTTCAGGATTTATTCCCTTCTTTCCGAATCATCAGTACTCCAAATTAAAGCCCAGAATCCAGGCCAACTTCAGAAGAATATCTATTTCCATCTTGTTCTGGGGGTTTGTTATTCTTCTGGATGTCTTTAGGAAAGATTTTACCAAAGTCAACTGCTGTGAAGACAGTTTTGTCTAAGAGGATCATCATGCAAGCAAACTAACTCTTTTCCTAAGCTATTATTTGGCAGCTTGCAAAGACTGCTTGGCTTCACCTTGAGAAACTGTCCTTTAGGTGATCAGGAGGAAAGGATGAGGATTCTTCCTTTGTTTATCCTCCTTGCTTTTGTCATTTAGATACCAAGCCTGGCACACATGTCTGAAGGTGAAGAACTGGTATTTGTCTGTGATATATCTTCCATTGATAGTGATTTGCTCTGGATCTGTTCATGTTGACACGATGACAAAAGAATGCTTATTTTTGGATAGAAGTGAATTATATTGCACTCATCAAGGGTTTAGCAGAATAATCATACTCTGAAAAAATCTAGAGTAAACTGGAAATTAAATTTTTCCATTCTTTGTTTGAATAATACTCTGTTTGCCACAGGATTATAATTTAGAACATATGCTAAATATGTTATCAGAAAGAATATTTTTAAAAATCCACCCAAATATCATAACTTACCACAAAATTAAAAAAAGAAAAAAGAAAGAATATCATTCACTTTCCAAAATCAAGATTAGTCATGTGTTAATCTGTGAATCCTTGTAAGAAATGTTCATTTTTCAAGAAAAGATCCTCCTCAGGTGGTTGATAACAAGTCTCCACAGCAGAGAAATGCTGGCATCTTTCCTTATGTCTTCCTTGTTGTCTTCACTACTTATTCTTCAGGCTAGAAGACAGAGAGAACACAGGCTTACCTTCTTGCTTAATTCCATAATCTGCCTCTGTGTCTTTCTCTCTTCACCCTCACCCTACATTATTTCAACAATCAAATTTAAATAAAGGTGAATTTACAGTTTAGTTACTAAACAATCTGTGTGTATAATTCAGTTACCAATGTCATCATCATATATGTAGAAGAAAATTTATATTTCTAGACTAAAATTTAGACCTCCAGACACTAAATTCACTTCAAATGTTCTTAAAGCCAGGATAACACACACACACATATATTTATGTTGCACTATGTATATCTATCTGTAAACTACAGATGTAATTACATATAGAACCTCCTGTTGAGAGCAGAGAACAATGCTGTGGCACTTAGCTTTCAAATTAACATAAATGAGCATCATTCATTCAGAACTTTCTGTTAGGTAAATGGGGAAAATATCTTTCTGCTGTTTTTCTGTAAAAATATTGATCACATTGATAACTAACTTCTAAAGAATATTTAGTTTCTGCTTTTGGCAAGAAGATGCAACCATTTATTGCATATCTATAGGTTAAGAGTTTCATATTTATGTCACATCATAATTCAGTCCCCACAACCACCTTCATAGTTTCATTTCCCCACTTTAAAGATGAGAACATCGAGGCTTAAGTCAGCTAAGTTAATGGCACTCAGTCATACAGCTGTTAAAGCGTGGAATTTTAACCCTGGAAAAAAGAAGAAAGGAATTAGAGGGAGGGGAAGCAGAGCAAGGGAGGTAAAGAGAGGCTGATCAAAGTACTGTATATCATGTGCATGTACAAATCTGCCCAAAAGAAACCCATCGATCTGAACAATCAAGTAAAAAAAATAGAGTGAAAAAGAAATCATGAGGTCAAAGAGTTGTGATGCTCCAAACCGGTGATTTCTCTCCTGCTGTGGGTGGGCTCTGGCTAAACTGAGACTGCCAAAGAGCGCGCCCTCCGGACGCTACCTGTTCTTGCTCAAGCTGTACTTCAGGAACGAGAGTGGCAAAAGCGCTGGAGCAGGCTAGAATCCTTCCGAGGCTTTCCGTGTTCCTAGTAACGAAGAGCCAAATGTCTTAAGGGCAACTGGGATAAATGAAAATTCACAAGTTACAAAGGAAGATTCTATCACTCACCTAGAAACGCACTTGAAACACACACATATCTTGAAATCTAATTTTGTAAGAAAAGTGCTATCATAGAGTAGTCCAAAAATCTTAAATGCAGACCAAAAGAAATGGACACTACATGCTGACTATATATATATATATATATATATATATATATATATATATATATACACACACATATATATACACACACACACACATATATATATATATATATTTTGCCTTGGAATGACCCTGATAACCACAGCCACTTTTAATAGCAGTTATAAAAAGAAAAATCCTGTTCTAGAGTCTCACATTCAGTTCTGCCATCATTCGGTCATGACCTAAGGAAATTCTAGTCACTGTCATCTTCATGAATTAATGTGACACGAAGGCTGGCAGTTCACACGGAGCGAGCAAGTATAATTTCATTTTTGTAAATTGCAAAGATGAACACTTTTCAAATTAAAATGAGCTGGAAGCACAGCATCTCCATGTAATAGTAGGAAGAACAAAAATATCCGCAGCTGAGCAGTTTTCAGTCATGATTACATCGTTATAGAAAGCTAGATGAGAGGATTTTTTTGTTTTGTTTTAACTTATAGTAAAAGTGGTATATTGAGAATTTAATCTCATAATGAGGAAAAATATCACTTGCTTGCTTTTTATAGTCAGCATAATTATTCAGATCCTTTCTGACTGCATAGAAGTAATAAGAAATTAAAATGCCTTTCAATTCCATACAGCTTTTATAATTATTCATCCATTACTATTATCATTGCTGGAATGGCTCCTTCATATTTTAGTCAGCATTCCATTTGATACAAAAGAACATGGAAGATTTTACTACTATTAATAACTATGCAGCCATCCAATCCAAGAAAATTCTTTATCTGAGAGATAAGCTGCATAATTCATGTATTTTCAGAAATTTCTTTAAATAGAAAATGGAAGAAAGACATAGGGAAAAATAATTCATCACATTATTTTCATTTGTGGTAAGGGACAGTCTTTGCTCTCAGAGAGTCTTAAATTTTATCCAAGTGAAAGAGATGATTTCAATTGCATCTTATATACTAATGGCTCCCTTTATTTTCAACATACATTATTGGACATGATGACCACATGACCTCATTTCACATCTGTAATCTTCTAAAAAAGGTCACTAGATATTAATCAAGATTTCTTTGAGGAAGAAGCTGGCAAGCAGTTAGAGAATAATTAGAAACATTTGAAAGGGTATGTATACTTCTCCATTGAAAAGTTTCCATTTGGAAACTATGAGGCTACACCTAACTTCTGTTAGCTCTAGTTTTATTTTGGAACTCAGCTATAGGGGCATGTGATGGCTTTAGGAGGAACCTGATGAGAATTACCCGCAGGAGCAGTTAAGCACAAAAGCTTCCACTCTTTCTACAATCCCCCCTTTCCACATTCGGACTCAGAAAGGGCTAGAAGATGGGGAATGCTCCAACCTGGGTATTAAAAAGAAGCATTAATGTGAGCTGGTAAAAACTACTGAAAATGATCCCACTCTTAGAAATGATCAGAATGTGTGCAGTATTACTGAGATGTTATCTTGATGGGGAGAGGGATGGAGAAAGCAGTTTGGCCATGTATGTTTGAAAGGAGTGTTGAGAGAAGAGTTTAATGTTTAATTTACTCCACATAAAATTTAATTGTTCAGTAAACCTGTGAAGAAACAAAACAGAACATCCTCAGCCATTAGAAAGTCCACTTTCTGACTGGAGGTAGCAAGTCACATCTAGTTTTTGACCGCCAGGTAGCAAGTTAACAGTGATCAAAAAAGAAAACCTCATGGGCCATGGCTCATGTGACAAGACATGAGCAAAATCTGTCCAATAAGGAAAACTCATGTTCCAGGCATTCTCCATAACCATGTTCCTACATACCCATAACTGTGACTGTGATCAACCTGAAAAGTGAATGGATCTAAGGATGTAAGATCTTTATTAATTTAAGGTCTTATTTAATTTACTAAAATACTATAATAATAAACCAAGCTAAAGTATATTTCTCAAACTTAATATCACCTGACTTCTATTCATTCTTTCCTGCATTCCCTAATTTAAAGTAAAAAATTTAGGGTTTTCCTGCGCTGGGTCCTTTTTCTCCCCCAGGCTGAAATCAGTTAATCACAGATCTTTTGGCCTCCTCTTTCACTCCTTAATAAGTCATTTCTTTGGCAGCCCCTGGCCTAGCCAGGCCACTGGCATTGCACTGGTCACCTGTCTGCATGTTTGCAGCCAGCTCTGCTCCTTGATTACGCTGGTGCCTCAGTGCCTGTCTGGGTCCCCATCACCTGCTGAAGAAAGTAAAACTGTCTTCTCATGATTTACAGAGGTCACTGATGATGCATGTGCTGCAGTCTCCTCCATGACCATCTTTTTGTCCAGAATCTCATTCAGGATTCCCTGCAGTGGAATCACGCGGAGTTCCTGAACTTGCCTGTTCTTATGGGTCACTTCAGTTGGCACCGGATCTTCTTTCTGCCCAGAAACCCACGTTTCCCCCTCTATCACCAAGCTTCTCTCACTCCTTAGTGGAGCCTGCAACCTCCATGTTCTGAGTGCACCCTACCATGGGAGAATGTATTTGGAATATTTTCAACAGCTACTTAGGAATGGAGAACAAAACCTCAAGAAAAGGCCCAAGCTGCAGGAGATGAGATGCCATGCTTAAAACAGGGTGTCCGGTGTTTTTTGCTCCTGAGAAGGATGAATGTCAGCAGAATGAAGGAGTTTGGAGAACAAAGGTGAGAAGATAAGAATGTAGAAGAAGGGGACAAGGCACAAAGACAAGGTGTTGTACTAGCATGGTGCCATCTCTGAATGACACCGAAATCCTAAATACAGTTGTCTAAACCAATGAAATACTTGCAAAATGTTAATTTTTAGTGGGATTCTATATAGTCTAATTGATACAGGGAGTGGAGAGAAGAGGCACTCCAATATATAGGGAGAGAAAAATGCAGAAAACACAAGATGTTGGAGGATAAAAGTGTAGGCAGGGCTTTGTATTTGAGCAGGTATCCTCATGTCAATGCAAGGTGACCAGAGGTGGCAAGGATCAGATGACATCGGACAAGCAGAGATAAATTTATTCAAATATTTCTTAGAAAAAAACATATATTTACAACTCATGGATAAAGAAAAAATTTAAGAAAATTTAGGCTAATTTGGAGAAAAGGCAGGTATTATGAACCAAAAGGAGGACTTTTGCTTCCTATTTTGCATTATTGATTATTCATTCTAATCATTGGTACATTTTAGGTATAAAATATAATGACATTCATCATTGGAAATTTGCACCTTTACATAGTCTCTCTTGGTTCTTATTCTTCACCCTTGCCCAGCCCTCCCTTCAACCCCTCCATTCCTCCCTATTTACAAAGATTTTGTTCCTATTTTTCCATTTTCTCACATTAATCCCATTTCCTTCTATCCTTTCCCCTAGCCCTCACACTTCCTTCCCCTTTGCCCCTTTTCTTCCTATTTCACATTACCTATTACACATTTAGTCCTTATTTACACTTTCAGTTTCTCACACCAGAGAAACTATTTGGTATTTACACATGTGTGTCCTATTTATTTCACTTAAGAGTATCACCTCAATGTGCATCCACTTACCTAAAAATGTCTCTAATTTCTCATTTTTTATGGCTGAGTAGTACTCCATTTTATAAAAAAAACCACATTTTCTTGATCCAGTCTCCAGTTGATGGGCATTTGGGCTGTTTCCAAGTTTTAGCTATTACAAACTGTGCCGCTATGAACATGGGTGCACATATATCACTGTGGTATGATTCTTTTAATTCTTTGGGGAAGATCCCCAGCAGTGGAATAGCGGGGTCAAATGG